ATCCTTAATACTGTTGACATGATAATTTATTTAAGAAAGATACAATGGACTTTTGAATATTTTGAAATTTGAACAACTTAAAACTCAAATAAAAAATTCCAGAAAAACTTTCAAACAAAATATAGCTGCAGTAATATCAATCTGTTTAATGAAAATGCAATGGAATATTTTGAAAATTTAAAAAAAATAGACAAAAACAAATGATGTTTATAGATATCTAATGAAAAATCAAGCAGTGATAGATAATATTAATTAATTACAACTAATAGATTGCAGATAAAAATTAATTGATTAATTATTACAATATTATATATGTATGTATTAGTACAAATAGAAACATATACTTATTAAAATTATTTTATCATTATTTACCAATATGATATTTTGAAATAGGCACTTAAAATGTTTCATATTGTGTAAATTTTGAAAATCTAAAACAGATTAATTCAATTTACATTATGTTGAATGGAAATTTAATTTATAACTTGTCTTTTGGAATAAATTATGTATTATCAAAAAATTCAAAAGTCCATTATATTAAAATTTCTCTTGAAAGATGCATACATTATACTTATGTATAGTACTGAGAATAAAAGAAAAATCAGGAAGCAACAAACTGTATTTATCCCTCAGTACACTTACTTATATATTTTCTTCATACTCTCATATGATCATTCACTCGTCTTCACATTTCTTTCTCTCTTTGTAGAATAGTTATAAAATTTTTTATATGATGTACTCAATTAATTACCCCGAATGCTTAAAAATATTCAAAACGTTCTTTCTCTCTTTCTTTCTATGAAAATTGTTTGTCGGATTTTCAATTAAATCACACATTACATCATTACGTGTAATCTTTTACAAAGGTCTTCGGGGCATCAAAACCTTTATTTTCAATTATTATCAACGGTGAATTAAATAGATAATAACAAAATAAGAACAAGCCACCTCTGGCTGATCTCACTTGGATTTTAAGCCCAAAGAGGTGGATCAACCAAAACTCTAAGCACTGAGAATACACTGAAGTTTTCACTAATCAGTGAATTCATAAACATGTACCCGTGGCATTGTCCTTTACTTGTGTACGATACGCTTGTAATCGTAAATCTCCTCCTTAGTATTAACTTAGAGGATTGATTGATTTGACTCTTTGCATGGCATTCGTACAAAGTTGAGTACCTGGTCTTGGACACATCAGTGACTGCAAATAGGTTTGATGCAATGAGAAGTAATTATAATTTTATCCTTTCTGAAACAAACAATAAATTATATTTTACAAAGAAGAATCAAAAATGAAGGGGGAAAAAATATAACTATTAAATAATCAAAATAAATTAAATATTTTCATGTAGACATGCATTTTGTATTTGATTATATTGTATTAAAAAAATTATCCTAAATCGCTAAATTATTATCATTATCATTATAACAAATTTCTATTTTATATATACTAAAATATTAAAAATAACATATGCAGTATGATTTGAAATATAGAAAAGAACACCTGGTTGAGCGTTGGTTTGCGCGGGTGGTTGACCTTGGGCTTGCCCTTGCCCCTGAGCATTTTGAGCGGATTGACTTGGACCACCTGCTGTTATTGCAGTAGCAACACAACTTTTCTGTTTTAACATTGTCCAATCAAAAGTATAATCATATTGATGATTCAATGTACGGAAAAGTATACGGAAAAGTTGACGAAGATACATATAATCTGGACTTTCTTCGAAACGTAAACCTCGTGTATAATTCAAGTACATTGCGAATTCAGCAGCAAATCCCTAAATGAGATTAAAAAAATAAAACAGTTAATACAGTATAATATAATATATTATAATTATAATAAACATAAAACTTACTTTACACAAAACTTCAACTGGAGTAGACATCTTTTTTTCGCTTATTTTTTCATATTTTTGCTTTTTAGTAGCAGCTTTAAGTCCTTGCCAAGGTAAAGATCCTCGATTGAAATACATAAGCACATAACCAAGTGATTCCATGTCATCCCGACGGCTCTGTTCTATTCCAAGATGTGCATTAATTGAAGCATACCTTGCTGTGCCTGTTAAATTTTTATCTTCCCGATACATTATGTGCATTCTTGTACGACTATCTCTATATTTTTTAGCTAATCCAAAATCGATAAGAAAGAGCTAAAAGTTTAAAAATTATTAATATTTTAAGAAAAATTAATATACAAATATAAAAAAAAATATTTAACATTAATTAATTACTTTATTACAGTGACGACCAATACCCATTAAAAAATTATCTGGTTTGATGTCTCTATGAATAAAATGTTTGCAATGAACATATTCAATCCTACCAATCATTTGATCTGCCAACATTAAGACTGTTTTAATTGTGAATCTTCTTGTACAAAAAGTAAAAAGATCTTCAAGAGATGGACCAAGAAGATCCATGACAAGTACATTATATTCTCGTTCTTGTCCATACCTATATATAATAAAAAAATAATTTTTTATGAAATTATATTTCTAAAATTTTAAGCAAATCAATTTTATAAATTAGTTGTATATTAAATAACATTAAAAATAATTACCAACGTATATGAGGTATTCCTACACCACCATGTAAAATTCTATATAGTTTTGACTCATATAGAAGTTGTGGATGTCGAGCACGTACACTTTCTAATTTAACAGCAACTTCCTAAAATAATGCCCAACATAATGCATATAGTGTTATCACCGCATAAAATATTTATATATAATTTTAAATTTTATTTTTTTATAATTATCAATTTAATTCATATAATTATAGAATATAGGTTTTAAAATTGAGGAAACAAGTATTTAAATATAAATATGATTACTTCTGTTTAATATTTATTGAATAAATAAATACAATATACATAAAAAATTATACACAATTTTATTCTATAATATTATCAATCAATTTTATTCTATAATATTATAATATTATAATCATTTTTATTATATTCGTTATTCAAATATTGTATATTAAAATTTATATATAATTTGTCTATATATATTAACTATATATTATTTTATTTTTAAATTGTTTAACAATTGATATAAAAATTGATAATACATGTTGTAAACAAAATTATTGTATAATATTCATAAAGCATAAAATATAAAAACAAAAATTCTTATGTAAAATAAAAAATTTAACATCTTGAAGAGCTATATTTTACTGAAAATAATTCATATAAAGATAAAAAATACATTCCATAAATTTAATAAGAATAGATTTTAAATGTGAAATTTATGTATAACAAAAAAGAATTTTATATATAAAAACAATTTGTAAATAAATATTTGCTACAACTACTTTATAATAAACATATACGTATTTTAGTTACAAATACTACTTATAATTGACACACGTAAACAATACATACATCAGTATTCTTTTTTATATATAGAGGTTAATCACATTGTAAAAAGTTAGATGAGTTTGCAGTTAAACAAATGTACTCATAAAATTTTTGAAAATAGCCCAGGTAAATCGGTCGAGTATATATAACTTTACTGAAATAAAAAATTTACAACTTGCCAATCCTTTAAGAAAGAACAATAAGTATTTCACGTAACCAATAACACTATCATAAAAAACATATTTCGTAAGAAGTTTAGTAGTGACATAATAAGAAAAATTTATTCATGATAAAAATGAGATAAATAACTCATTATAAAGACAATGAAAAAATAAAAAGAAATTAAGAAAGACAAGAGGGAAGATGTGTTGGCAGATCGTCTCACGTGAAACGGTACTCCTTACCTCACCATTAGAGATGTTGATACCGAGGTAAATGTCGCCAAAGGATCCCGAGCCTATCTTCCTCAACAGCCTGTATTTGCCACCTACGATAAACTCATTCTTTGCTACTGACATCGCTAACTGTATCGTCGACATATTGCTCTTGGCTTCCCTATTTCTGTCCTTCCTCCGCTAGAACCGACGGCGGACTCTGCGACTGGCTCACGTCGGAATCAAATCTGATTTAAAGTACTAAGCGTACCCGATAGAACTTATACGCCATTTACTGGCAAACTGGACAATATTGAGTCTTCTTAAAACCGTATCGATGAAAGATTTTCTTCGATAAAAATCTATTCGGACGAAAATTCACTCTCTAGTGGCACAACAAAGCCCCACTAATACGCCGACATTTTCCCTTTCGCTAGAAGCACGAGAGCAACTGACGTTGCGGAAACGATGCGTCACGGCGGGCGGCGTTCAAGTCAGAGTCCTTATCAACGAATTGCTATTAATTAACTATATTATCTTTTTAACCAAACCATCCGCAAACCTTTTATTTTAATAACAAGAAAAATTTCGTTTAACTAAGATGTGAGTTTAGCACTGCCTCAAAATTTAATTGTACGAAATGACTCGCTTGAATTCGCGGTACTAGATTTTCCTCAGGACCGTATCAATATTACTACAGTTCTTCGAATGAATCTTTCTTACAGTGACGTTTGATTAAATTAAAACGTGTTATTAAAATATTATTCTATTTGATTTAGTTTTTTCACATAATAATTATTTAATGTTCAATAGAAAAATTTAAATATTAAATAAAAATAAACAATAAAAAACAATTTCGAAAAATTTTTCGAAAATTTTCTTTCTATATTTTCATACTTTTTTCACATTTTTATATTTTATTTCATTTTTTCTATATTTTTATAATTGATATGAAAAATTAACATAGACTAAAAAAATTGATCAATTTAAAAAGATTTTTTTTTCTTTATTCGATATTAGTATGTTTTTATTATATTTATTATTAAAAATATAAAATTACATCTTTAAATAATTTTTTTATAAAACAGTTATACCATTAATAACAATATCATAGATCTGAAAATTTTTAAATCTGTAAAAAAATATCTACAATATTATAAGCAATATTTATAATTTTCATTTTAAATTAATATAGGTCAAAAGTACCATTACTTCTTTTAAGATGTATATGTAATTATAGATACACTACTGATTTTACCGGAACCTTGTGCTACTTATTAGAAACGAAATGTTTTTTATACTTCTTATTTATAGTTTATTTTAAATAGAAAAAAATTTTGATTAGGAAATATAATAAGTATTTTTTTGATTTATAATTTTGTAGTTATTACTCAGTGTAAAATACTTTAAATTTTGTAAAGTACTCAGCGACATCTAAGTTGTTCATAGTTAAATAAAGACGTAATAAAAACTTTTTTCACGTTTATATTATTAAATTTATTAATTAATTATTAAATGATCGATGGCAATTATTTCTCAAAACACAATACGATTGCCAATATTAGTATTTGTGAAAAAAATTTTTATTGGTACAATAATTACAATAAGAGATCCATTATGACAACTCGTATAAAGTTTGAAAAAGTTTTGGAAAATCTCGAGAAAAATCCTTTTTTTGAGAAATATGCTAATAAAATAGCTAAATTACAACAAAATAGTCCTGAAGAATTCTTACAACGTGTCAAAAATCAAGAAAAGTTACAAAAAAAAAAGGTACAATCTATTATTACAGTCTATTATACAATATAATTAAATAAAAATCAATTTATTTGATTGTATATTATATATTTATTATTATTTAAAATGTTATATGTCATGTAATAAAATGTTATTTTAAATATTAGTTTAGTCAAATTTTAGTTTTTAGTCATAATTATTAACCATAATTGTTATATATTATTTTGAATTTTTGATATATTTTATTATATTTTTTGATCTATATATATTATTAAATTAAAGAAAAACAGGAAGAAGAATATAAATTTTATCAAAGTGAAGCAAAACCATACTTGAATCAAATCAAACAACCTCAACAAGCAAAATTAAATAGTATAATGAAAATGGATATGATTCAGAATATGAGAAAAGATGAGATTATAAAAATTTGGAAAGATTACCATAAAGATAAAGATTACATATGTGGAATATTAACATCAGAGCAATTTGATAAAATGTTTGAGCGTGGAAAGCGCTATTCAACATTTTTATTGCCATTACCTAGAAAACAAGGATATGAGTTTATAGTTAGTCAATTTTATGGATTAGAAATTCACATGACACCACTTATTTGGTATCAAACACATAAAGAAAATGCACCAGAATGTTTAACTATGGTTCATTATGTAGAATTTAAAGATAATAAAGGAATTATTCTTATGCGGGGTGAATTTGATAAAAAATGTATTTCCGTACAAGAAGCACAATGTTTAGTAAATGAATTACAATTATATTATTGTACAGATAATATTAAAAGATTACAACTTTTGGAAACTTTCACTAATAAACCTGATGAATTTAAATATATGAATCTAATAACACAGTTAGAATCAATACAATTAGAATTAAAATAATTGAGTGTTTTCATATAAAATTTATTATAATTATATTTTATTTGATATTATATAGATATATTGAATTTGTACATAGTGTTCTCAAAATAAATGACAAAGTAAAAAATTTATATTGAGTTATTATTATAATATTACAACAATATTAAATTTTTAAGTATTTTATATTTTACTTATTTATATATATATATATATTATAATAATTCTGATATTAATTTTAATTAATAATTTTAATTAATAATTCTAATTACAGTCCATCCTTCAAAGTCTCGTCATATTCAGTCTTTATTTCCATTTTTAATGACAAGAACAAAACCACCATGGTCTTATATCAAAAAAAGAAATTTTAGTGATAATGCAATTAAAAATATATATATTACTACACCTATATTTTATGTTAATGCTGGTAATATATGGTATTTTTTTTGTATAAGAAGAGAAATATATATTATGAGAAACAATGATTTGATTTTTCTTTTAGGACCACATATTGGACATCTTTATACAGCAGTTTTGGCAGATACTATAGCTAGATTCAATACTATGTTAGGGCATTCTGTGTTTTTAAGCACTGGTACAGATGAACATGGAACAAAAGTTCAGAAAGCTGCAAACAATGCAACTTTATCTACTTCTGAATATTGCGCTCAAATTTCACACCAATTTCAAGAAATGTGTGATATATTTCAAGTTAAATATTCAAAGTTTATTAGAACAACTGAAGAACAACATCAAAATGCAGTTCTTCACTTTTGGGTTATTAAATTTATAAAATAATAATTTTAAATTTAATAAGTTTAAACATATTAACACATAAAGTTACAATTTCATAGAACTGTTTAGAAAAGAATGGGCACATTTATCGAGGAAAATATTCAGGCTGGTATAATATATCAGAGGAAGCATTTATCTCGGATAAAGAAATAATACAAAAAAATCTTACAAATATGAATGAAGGATGTACTGAATCAGGAGATGTAGTAGAGTGGATGGAGGAAGATAGTTATAAATTTCGTCTTACTTCTTTTAAAGATCAATTAAAATATTGGTTGAAAAATGGTATATATAATATAATATAATTCATTTAATTAATTTTTTTTAATTAATAGAAATTGTAATTCTAATATTTATATTCAGAAAATGTAATAGAACCGGCGATATATCGCAAAACGTTGATTCCATGGTTAGAAGAATTACAAGATTTAAGTATTTCTAGACCTATCAATAGAGTACCTTGGGCAATTCCTACTCCTTCTGATGAATCTCATACAATATATGTATGGCTGGATGCATTAGTAAATTATTTAACTTCAGTAGGATATCCAAATAATTCATTTAAAGAATTTTGGCCACCAACTGTACAAGTGAATGTCTTTAATCTAATTTGTTCTAATATAAATATAATATAGAATAAAATTGAAGATTAAAAAAAATCATTATACAAATTTAAGAATATTTATATTAGATTATAGGAAAAGATATTCTAAAATTTCATGGTATATATTGGCCAGCATTTTTAATGGCTGCTGGTTTGGAACCACCAAAAAAACTTATATGTCATGGTCATTGGGCAGTTAAAGATAAAAAGATGTCAAAATCTAAAGGAAATGTAATTTCACCTTTTATCGCGATGCATGATTTTACACAAGACGGCCTGAGATATTTTCTTTTACGACAAGCAGTACTGGACACAGATGCAAGTAAGGCAAAAAATATATAATATATTTTAATAACATTTTTCATTGTAAAAATTAATATTTTATTTCTTCTTTGCTTAGATTATAATAAGTTAAAAGTTCAAAAAATATTAAATTCTGAACTTGCCGATACACTAGGTAATTTAGTTAATCGTTGTTTTGGTAAAAGTATTAATCCAGATGGAATAATATACAATTCAACCGAATACAAAAGTATTTTAAAGTCTGAAATAGCTCTTAAAAATATAAAAGCTTTGGAAAATTTAAATGAAAAGGCTAGAAAATGTTACGAGAAAAATGATTTATATCATGCAGTGGATAGTGTGATGGATATGTTACGCACTGCTAATCAAGTATTTGAATATCATCAACCATGGAATTTAAGCAAATCTAAAGATCTTGACTCTGTAAAGCAACTCGAAGCTTTGATATCATTAGTTTTGGAAAATTTACGAGTGGCAGCTTTAGTATTGTATCCCATTATACCAAAGTTATCTTCTAATCTTCTCGATTTTCTTCAAGTTTCGTTAAAAAATCGTAATTGGGAAGATACAAAACCGTTTCATTTAACAAATGACTCGAATGAAACAAGACATGTTTTGTGTCAGAATATATTATTTTTTAAGAAAATAAAAAATTAAGAAAACATTGATTATTTGAATTCATTAACATTAAATAGATATATATATGCTGGTATAGGATAATAAGGATGTAATAAAACAGTGCAAATTTAATATTCGCATGGATGTCTTACGTTTATATATTTACAGAGAACGGTCATTCAAATATATCATTAGTATACATCGATTTCGTGCACGTATCATTCCGACAGGAAAAACATAGAATCTATGTTTTTATTTTATCGCTTCTCCCTCATCGGAACGTACTACACTTAGCAAATCGCTGATGTAGATGATGGAAGAGATTCAATGAATCGGTCGGTTGCATATCGCGAGGATTTCTTTCGTTTAGATAAGTGGCGCAGATTTGAGTTAGATTCGACGGGTTGCATAACAACTTTGCGACACGTTAACACCTAAACGAAATATCGCTTACAATGCAAAGATACGTGGAGATCGCGTGTTTGTGTCCCGTCAAATAGAAAAATAAATAAATGACTATTTACAAGATGGAAAATGAATCTGTGCGGATTTCTCCGCGATTCTAGTACTAATATAAGCTACGATTCGATAGACGTTACTATTAATATTTCATGTAACATCCAGTTTTATATCGTAGATGCGCTATTAACATGATTTTATAATTACAATTGCTTTATGAGAAATGTTATCTAAACTCTATAGTAGAATTTCTCTACGCACGAATTTATTTATTTATTTATCTTATTTTGTTCTTTCTTCTTATTTTTAAATTTATATCTTCCTGTTCGATCCTGTTAGATAAATTCATCTTTATTCTTTTTTGTTATAAGAACAGATTATGTCTCATGGATATGTTTCGAACTACTTCCCGATGATTGTCTTTTCATAAATTGATCTCTTAACCGTCCTTTATTTATTATTATCGACAAGTTTTCTTCCCTTTTCATCGTCCGTGGATAAAAAAAATATTCTACAAAAGAATTCACGTATAATTTTGTTATTTAAGACGAAAGGGAATAGAAGAGAGAAAAACATCATATTATTACATGATGATGGTATCGATGATATTGCTCGATCGATTGATGGTAAAATTTATATTATTTCAAGATGCTCTGTATGTAAAAAATATGCTTGTTTAACTTTAGTTGCGACGCTCGTTGCAGAAATATATGGAATATTTACTCGGCAAAAAAGTATTCAATAACGAGTTCAATATGTCAAGAAATATTTATAAACTTTACAATACCTTCCCAAGATGATGAAATGGTAAAGTTTGTCGTTGAAATTGATCATGACGGTCGCAATTGCCGTTTTTTTAAATGTTTGTACGTAAATCTCGTTCAATCATAACCATTATCATAAGCAGACTTGAAAAATTATACTATGGATATGTTCGTGTAACATTCTTCGATTCAATCGAATAAACTCGTACCAAGAATGTTGTATGCCACGCAGAAAACTGGCGACAGGAAGGAGATAATATTTCCATCACGATTTTATTTACGTCTTATATAATAAAGTGATTTATATATATAGAATCGATATATATACCGTGATGGAAAACCACGTGAACCATAATTACCGTAGGATCGCAATTACCGTTCGATAGGAAGATCGATAAGTCCGAGGGAGAGGCTCGAATCGAATTATATCGCACTCACGATAGTATCGCGATGCCTTTGCGCCATCATACCAACTTGACAACTGTCCGCGCTTGATCTTGGACTGATATTACATTCGATCATGGACCCGTTTCGTTTTTGTACGACCACGGATCGAAATTCTCCGCATTCGCTAGTCGACGGTTGATTTCCACGGGCGCGTGCACCCTTTGTGAGAATTCTCTTGAACGCTTCTCGGAATTCTGTGTTAAAGATGCTGTAGATGATCGGATTGAAGGCCGAGTTGCTGTAGCCGAGCCAAGTGAGTACCTATTACATAGCAAGCTTGTTTTCTGTTCTTTCTTTCTTTTTTC